CCCCCCCGATCTTTTTCCCCCCTCCCCACCGAGCGAACCTTCTTCCCCCGCTGCGCCCCATTCTTCCCCTCCACCCCCTTAGTTTATCATCAATCAAATATTAGTTAATTTCTTAACTAGTCCCTAGAATCTTTTTCAAAATACTTTTGTAACAATCTGCTATCAGCCCCTTCGAAATTTCTTTTGAAATACGTTGAAACTAAGTAGTTAATACTTCGAAAGCTCAATATTTACAATTTCTTTAAATAATTCATCTCTTTTTGGAATACTTTTTATTTCTTTCCAAATTTCTTTGGAACTCCTTTTTGCAATTCGATTACGTTTTGAAAATTTCTCGAAAATTTGAATTTGCTTTTTTTTCATTGCTTCAACTATTTTCGAATAAATTCTCGAAATTAATTCGGAAATAATCACCCATTTCTGCAATTTTGAAATTTCTTCTGAAATATTGTTTTCGAACATTGAAAATAATGAATTTTTACAAAATTATTTCGAATTTCTTTGAAATATTTTGAAATTAATTTGAAATTCCTTGAATACTCTGGCATTCAGAGTTGCCAGGCCGAACGTACGGAGGCCCCTAAGCTGACCCCCGAACGTTCGGGCGTTCGGGTCCCCATACGGGGCCCGAACTCGAAGGGGTTCGGACCCCGCAAAAAATTATTTCGGTACCTTAAAAAAAAAAAAAATTCTGATTTTTTTTTTTTTTTGAGTTCTCTGTTATGTAAGCTACCTGTCTCTCAATTTTGAAGTCATTCTGTGGAGCTAAAAAATAATGAAAAATCGGCAAAGATGGTGGTGTCAAAACATGCTTTCCCACTTACTAATTTGTTTTGTTTCTCTTTTCACTTTTTGTTTTCCCTTTATTTCGGGGCCTGAAAAAAAATATTATTTTTTCAAACTTTATTTGTAGGTTCTCTATGATGTAAGATACAGATGTAAAAAATTTCATGGCATTTGACAAAGCCAAAAAAAAATGAAAAATCGCCAAAGATGGCGGTGTCAAAAACTTGCTCGCCCACGCAACAATTTCATTCGCGTTTTATTTTTTCTTATTTTCATTAATATTATTTATTTTTCGTATTTGATTTTTGTTTCAAATTTGGTAAGAAATTTGGATGTACTGTTGAGGCAAATGTTGTTAAGTTTATTCTTTTGCATGACATAGTGTTTTTTTCAGAATTTTTGGAAACTTCGTTTTTTTTTTTTCTTTTTTTTTTTTTGGTTCCGCGTTCGGCCGAACGTCCGAATGCGTCGAGAGGGGTTCCCAAACGTTCGGGCGTTCGGGTTCGGGTGTTCGGCCCGTCCCGAACGCCGGCAACCCTGCTGGCATTAATCTCTTTTATATATACTCCTAATTCCTTCCGAAATTTTCTTGAATTTCTTTAATTAATTAGTCCGTTTCTGAAATTTAAATTCATTTGAATTAATTTCTATTTCGAACTTCTTTTCGAATTATTTCTTCCAGAATTGCAATGAAAACTTTTTTTTTTTCCCCACAAAAATATTTTCTTTCGAAATTCCAAATTTTCTTGTAAATAAATTTAAATCTAAATCAGAATCTATTATTTTGAAATTTATTACCTCTTCAAGCGTTTATTTTTGAAAATTTCGTTGAGCAAATTTCTCTTCTCCTAAAATTTTGTTCTACCCATATTTAATTTCGAATAAGTAAAATTCCAAGTCGGAATAAATTTATTTACTCAAAATTAATTCCCACTTTCCCTTCCCCCCCAACCTTATTCCCTTCGAAATCTCCGCAATTATCCTTATTTTGAATTTATTGATAAAGAATATGTGTCCCACATCCCCACATGCCACCACGCCAAACCAAGAACTCCCAACGCACCGCCGCCGACGCCGCTGCTGCTGCCGCCGCCACTGCTGCTGCTGCATCCTGCACATCTGTTCCGGCCGCGTCCCCCACCCCCTCTTCCCCCAACATGGCTCAATCATCCATCAACATGTCTGATCTTCGCTCCGACTCCGTCGACAGCATTGCCCGCGAACTCGCAGGCAATCCGCCAACTTCGACCACCACCACCCCAGAACTCGCAACTTTCCTCTGAACGTTGACCGCCCTCCAATCCTCCCTTGACACCATCAACACCACCATGGCCGCCATCTCCGACCGTGTCACCACGCTCGAGGGAAACACCCCCGCCATCACGGTCGTCACCACGACCACACCCTCCTCCTCCACACCCCAAACCACCCCCTCCTCCGGACAAGCCTCCGCTTCAACCTCCACATCAACATCACCACCATCTTCATCCACCACTACCTCCACTGTGGCCACTCCACCTCCCCTCTCGCCCAAGGCGAAAACCCCCGCCGTCACACAGTCATCAACCATCCCCCCCCAATCAAAACCCCTCTTATCCACCTCCACTATCACCTCGACTACCCCCAACTACACTCAGATGATCCCACAAGCTGTGTATCCCGCTCCTCCACTACTTCCCCCAAACGCACTCGTCCCCACCAACCCCGCCAATGATTCCACCCTGGTCGACTCCCCCACCCCCACCCTCGACTTCAATGCCCTTCCCGCTGCTACAAACAGAGAAGGCAAAATCCCCCCATCATTCCGCGCCAACGAGATCCCCACCTTCTCGGGCCAACCCCATGAGGACATTCTCCTCTTCCTAACCAAACTCCAACAAGCCTTCTTCCTCCACTCCATCCCTGTCATCCACTGGCTCCCCATCGCTGGCAGTCGACTCCTAGAGAACGCGGCTCACTGGTGGTACACCGAAATGTCTAATCGCCACTACTCCGGTCTCCGGCCTCACACCTTCCTTCAGTGGGCCACCCTCATCACCTCCACCTTCCACCCACAGAAAACGGTCGATAACTACATCGACCAATTCTGCCGGCTCCAACAAAACGGCCTAACCGACCGTTTTGTGCAATACGTCCGCTCGCTTCGTCAACATATCCCCGTTGATGTCGTCAGCGATTTCACCTTCATCTCCCGCGTTAAGCGCGTATGCCGCAAAGACCTAGCAGCCGCCCTTGTCCACGAGCCCCCCATGCCCCTCGCCGACCTCCTCACTCGTACCCTACAACTCGATCGCATCCTCTCCCCCTACAAGACCGCACTTACATTGACCCCGCCCCGCCCTCGCTTCTTCCACAACATCGCCTCCGAGGACACCACCTCCACCACCTCCTCAGACGAGTTCACTACACCGGACCTCGAGGAATCGGACTCGACTCTTCATCCCTCTCTTCCGAGGAACTCAATGTCGCACAATTCATGAGGATGGAGCGCAGAGATCGCAACTCTCGACCACCCTCATCTACCCCACCCTCCCGCCTCAAGAAACTCACCCCTGAGGAGCGCACCTACCTCCAAGCAAAAGGAGGTTGCTTCCGTTGTCGCCAATTGGGGCACCAACAAACCAACTGCCCCAACACCGCACAATTCACCTGCCAGTCCACCTCCACTCGACCCGCAACCTCTGCATCACTGCCCTCGGTAAGCGCGGGTCCCTCCTCATCATGAACGCAGTCCCCAGGACATCGACCCGGCATCGATACCACATCTGTCGGCCCACCCATCGGTGACGATGGCTCATTTGGCATCGACCATTCGTCTGCCAACCCCTCCTCCGGTGACGCACATCCCATCGGACAATTTCCAGGCATCGCAGTCTACTCCGCCTGCCCCCCTCCCGATGATGTCCCCTATTCCGTCAGATGAACCCTCCACTGCCACATGTTCTTCCACCCTCCTCCCTAACCCATCCGCCACCACTTTCACAGATCTTGTTGAGGAACGAGCCCGACACGATCGGCTAACTCCAACGCCACATAACGAATGTCGTCCTCCTAAGAAACGCCGCGTATAATATCATATCATCGCTTCTGAGGATTGGCAGAGGCACGAACGAAGGAAGTGCTGGCGAGCCTCTGCCGCATTGATTTTGACAAAATCGGCGATTTGGGTAATCAACGATAAATGGTCTTTGTTTTGATACAAACAAAAAGAAGATGGCTATGTTAGAAGGTGCAAAATTAATTGGAGCGGGCTGTGCAACAATCGCATTAGCTGGAGCCGCTGTAGGTATTGGAAACGTGTTTAGTTCTTTGATTCA